GATTCATAGTTACCAGATATGCAGTTGCAATCAGTCAAGGATTTATAGTTATAAGATATATAGTCGAACAAGTCAAGGTTCATAGTCACAATAGTTACACAAATAGAGTCTACTGCGCATGGCAGTAAACAAGGACACTGCAAATTATGTATATAAAAGACGGGGGATTCTAGGGGAATTTGGGACTCATTGAAGACGCGGCAGACGTGCCTTGCGGTGATTTCCCCTTTGCTGATTGCTGAGAGTCCCCCAATCGTTGGGCAACGGGTGATGCTACAATATCCGGTGATGTATTGATGCTTTATTCTTGCTATAATATGATCTAAATATGATTTGCAATTCTGACAATTCTTATGTTATTATACTAACAGAACTTATTCAATAAATCATGTTTTGCTTTAATTTTTATTAAGCCTAATCCGTGTATTAGTGAGCGATTGTAGTAGTGTTAAAAACACTTTGTTTTGAGGCAAAACACCCTTTAGGGCAATCAGGCTTACCGGTACTTGGTTGCCCTCATTACAAATTACAGAGTGCTGTATTTTCTGGCCAGGTAGCACAAGAGGCGGGGAAATGCAAAAAAAAGTGTGTACATGTGACACAGGGAGATGCAGATGTCCGCAGAGGATGTCAGAGACTGGTGCCTGCAGTAGCGTGATTTGAGGGAGGTGCTGAGTTGTTCCAAGCAGCAGGCACAGACAGTGCCTGCTGCAAGAGGTTGGTCTAAGAACCAACATTATCAGGACATTTTCCAGTTTTCAGAGTTGTGATAATTTGACTGTCAGTCATGCAACACTGTACTCAAATGAACTTCATTCTACTCCATTTTTGTATTTAATAAATACTGTGCTTTTTAAAACTTACTATATAGAAAGGAAAAAAGACCAACATGTTTTTTAAATCTCTTTATTTCTGTTCTACAACATATCTACTAAATAGTCTTTCTGCATAAATTTAAAGCAACATGTATTCTTCTGTTTCATTAGTAAAAAAGAAAAAGCAAATAAGGCCTTGTTCTTACCATACGTGCAGAAAAACTGATGGAAACTGACGCACAGATTTCACTTGCAAAGACATCAGTTTACATCAGTTTTCCTGTGCGCTTCAAGCAGTTTTAGTACTTGGTTGCACTCATTACTAATTACAGAGTGCTGTATTTTCTGGCCAGGCAGCACAAGAGGCAGGGAAATGCAAAAAAAAGTGTGTATATGTGGCACAGGGAGATGCAGATGTCCGCAGAGGATGGCATAGACTGGTGCCTGCAGTAGTGTGATTTGAGGGAGGTGCTGAGTTGTTCCAAGCAGCAGGCACAGACATAGTCAGTAAACAGGTCTAAGAACCAAGCAGATACATGGTCAGAAAACAGGAAAATGGTAAGTCCAGGCAGCAGGCAGAGACATGTCTAAGTAGACAGGCAAGTGGTAGCAAGCATAGATGTGGTTAATAAACAGGCAAATCAGATACAGACAAGGGCAGCTAGTGAGGCACATAGGAAAACCTATCCAAGATGGTGTCACAGAACCTCTAGAGACAACAGAGTTGCATTGGGAAGTGACCCGATTGGCATAGGACATAGCAGCAGAGCAGCTCCAGGAAACCAGCTGGACGAAATGAGTTTTTCAAACCTAGTAAGGTCAGGACAGGCATGCACCCGGTTAAAGTGGTAGTAAAGTAATTTTTTGTACGTATACCTACAAGTAAGCCTGTAGGTATAAGTACAAAAACTGACTTTACTACCACTAATCTGTAGGATTTTTCTACGTTAGTTACTCAGAAAGTATGTGTAACACACTGCACTGTTACTGATTAGTGATTAACCACAAGATGTTCTGCAGTTTAGTTATTATGGACTTGAGTATAGCAAAGCATCATTGAACTTGTGTGCTGAAAGCAGGACTGTACCCAGACAAGCTTAAAACAGACTACATTTCCCAAAAGAGCTGGCAATAAGGTCAGGAGCCTATATAATCCAGGGCCCAGGAACTTCCAGTGGAGGAAAAGAAAGAGCCTATGTGAGGGTGAGGACGTCTCCAAGAGATGCTAGTGTGGGACTCAGAGGCCCCAGGCCGGATTGGGTCAAACCACAAAGCCGGAAAGAGGGACAACAGATCATTGGTATCGCTGACAAGCAGGAGAGTCAACTCTGTGCAGGTAGTTGGATCGTGGTATTGTTTCTTCCTCAGAGGGACCGAGAGGAACAAGGGCCTCCCTCAACTGAGAGACCATTCTTAACTTTGTTAAAGCTATTGACTGGGTGAGAGGGTTTGTCTTTGGCTACAAGAGATTCTGCTGTTTTCATTTTCTTCAGTTCAGTACACCTTGCATCACAGTTTGCCACTTTGAAACAAGGCCCACTGTTTTAGTATCCACCCCCCCCCCCCCCCCCCCATTGCTCTGAATGCAGGACTCTTGCTGCTGCAGGTGTGTCCTTGCAGGCAGGAATACTGTTAATATCTCAAACCTATTCCAGCTGTAAAGGAATTTGCTTAATCAGGCCAATTCCCTACCTACTAGTCTACTCCCACCCCTTTCTCGACTTTAACAATTCTTGCCTACATCTCCCTCAACAAAGGGACACCCCCCCCCCCCCAGTTCCCTTACCATCAGCCTAGGTGGAGTTTTTATTGCTACTGTACACTTTTCAGGAGATCCTGTTTTCATCCAGAAGAACTTTAACTCTAATGTGCACCAACTAGGGCCCCATCAAGTACACAGAAGATTTTGTTCCTATGTTTGGAATACTAAACAAGCTGTATTACATGTAAATCCAATTTGAGAGTTAAACCCTCTTTCTAGTCATTGAGAACTCATAAGTGAATTAGCCTCACTTCTCTTTATTCTCTATTTCAGCTCACTTGGGAAGAAACATCTCAGAGCTGGAATTAACATTTAAATTCTTGTCCTGCAGGACAATTGGGTATATTTACAGTGGTACAGTGTATGTTCCTTTTGACTGAGGCTTCCACAGTAATTATCTTTTGTGCACATCTACCATTGTCTCTTTTGTGCTTGCATTACTTTTACTCTGACTTCAATACAATCAGAACATTGGTTCACTTTACATTTTGTGATTATTTTGTGTTTTTGCCAGGGGGTGTATGGTGGTGTCAGCAGGGGCTGTGCTCTAAAACAGGCTCAGAGAGAACGGGGACCCAAACTACAAAGTGGCTCCTAAGGGGGTAGCATACATATGGAGACCAGAAACAGCCAGATAGATGGCATTTTCAGAAGGAATTCAACAATGGAAGCTTCCATATTGCCCTCGGTACAGGCTTAATTTACATTGCATGTAGCAGATTTCCAGACAACACAAACCTCTATGTATTTTATACATTTTCTGACAGTTCTGCGCCTTGTCAAAAAAAATTTGGTGTCACCCAGAGTTCTTACCTGTGTAGGTTGAGGGGGTTTTCTCCACTCTGTTTTGAGTTCAGAAAACTGGTTTCAAAGTTTTCTCCAGGATTTATAACTCCTAGATTGGGTCCCAAAGCCCAGGGGCTTTGTAGAGACTTGGGAGGGATGCAGATTCAACCCCTGGGTCCATGTGTTGATGGTGACAAGCACCTGCTGATTGTGCAGGTATACACAGGTCTTATGGTATGGGACCTAAGTTCAGGGCTCCTTCCCTTCACACAGCACGTGTGTGAATTGAGGCTGGGAGAGTATCTGTTGTGGCCTTCAGGAGAAGTGATCTGACCAGGATGTTGCTTTAGAGAGAAACAGTGGGGAACATTTACAAAAACCAGAGCAGACAGAATCTAGAGCAGCTGTGCATAGCCAATCAGCTTCTAGCCCCAGTTGTTCAGTTAAGGATAGAAAACGAAAACTAGAAGCTGATTGGTTTCCCTGCAGAGCTGCTCCAGATTCTGGCTGCTCAAATCTCATTAATTTCTTCTCAATGTTTGAGTAGGCAGAAGGCTGTACTAGACATGAGGCTGAATGAGATGAAGTGGTAAATCTGTTCGGTGATAGATTCAAAGATTATGCAATCTAGATAACAAGGAGGATGGAATATTTCTATTTGTGTCAATGTGATGCTGAAAACCCCTACAATGATAACCTTTTGCCTCATACTGAAGCCCTAAAATGAACAGTGGGATGTGGACTGTGTCACTAGAAGCACTACACTTGACCTCAAGCTCTCACATTGTATATTTATTTGTTTTGCATCAATAAATTTATGTTTTTCCACCGGGAATAAATTAATTTCAGTTCTACAATAGCTTATGGCAGGCAAGCACTCCACACTACTGAGAAGTTTCTTTTTTATATGCTATGATCAAACTGCAAAATAATAATATACAGTAAGAATAAATCTATTTTTTTCAGTACCACAATCTCAGAGAGGGACTGTTTCAGTGCAAATACATTCTGTACTATTATGGTGAATATAGAAATTTAGCACCAAGGTTTAGCAGGGTCAACGTTTAGTAACACTTTAACCAAATCATTATAATAAAGACAATTTTTGTTTTAAAAAAATAACAAATATATTATTCTTAATTGCAAAGAGCAACTCCATACATCCTCTTCTGGGGTCCCCCACTGACGTTCTCTGCTCTTCCTCTTCTGTGTTTGCCCCATAGCAAGCTGTTTGCTATGGGGGCAAACATGCAGGCTCACTCCTGAGCAGGGTGATTATGTCTATAGACTCACACTCTCACTCACTTCCTCTTCACTGGATTTGACTGACAGCAGCGGGGGCCAATGAGAGAGAAAGCAGAGCTGCTGCTTTCGGTCACAATGCTGGTTTGAGATTGGGCTTAGGTAAATATTTTGGGGAGGGGATGCTGGGGAGAGCTAATTATGCAAGATTTCTTCACCTTAATGCAGAGAATGCAGTTAGGTTAAAAACCTTTAGTCTTTTACAACCACTTTAAGAGCCAAGCTTAACCACCTCCTGCCCGCCAAATATAGTAAAATGACGGACGCAAGGCGGTTCTTTTTCGTTCTGGGAGGACGTCATTTGATGTCCTCCCATTCTAAACCGCGCATGCGCGGCTCCGGGGAGCGCGGTGATCGGCAGTGCGCTGTGTCCCTCGGACATAGCGGATCACCAATCAACGGAAAGAGACGAAGATGTCGGCTCCGTCATGTGATCAGCTGTGTCCAATCACAGCTGATCACATGTAAACAGGGAAATACCAGTTATCGGCATTTCTCTTTACGAGCTGTCACGCTGATAGAGGAGAGGAGAACCAGTAATCGGCATTCCTCGGAGGGGACATGTACACAGATCATCAGAGCACTGATGATCAGTGTGCCCTGATGATCTGTGTAGCCCCAGCAGCGCTACCTGTCAGTGTCCATCAGTGCCAGCTCTCAGTGCTCATCCATGCCACCTTCCAGTGCCCATCAGTGCCACATTTCAGTGCCACATCAATGCCACATATCAGTGCCCATCTGAGCTGCCTTTCAGTGTCACCCATCAGTGCCAGTCAGTGCCACCTATCAGTGCTGCCAATCAGTGCCACCTATCAGTGCCAGTTAGTGCCGCCTATCAGTGTGCATCAGTGCCGCCTATCAGTGCCCATCAGTGCTGCCTATCAGTGCCACCTAACAGTGCCAGTCAGTGCCACCTAACAGTGCCAGTCAGTGCCGCCTATCAGTGCCAGTCAGTGCCGCCTATCAGTGCCATATATGAGTGCTGCCTTTCAATGCCCATCAGTGATGCCTGTCAATGCCCATCAGGGCCACCTACCAGTGCCTCCTCATCAGTGACCATCAGTGCCACCTATCAGTGTCCATCAGTGCAGCCTATCAGTGCCCATCAATGCAGCCTCATTAGCGCACATCAGTGAAGGAGAAAAATCACTTATTTACAAAATTTTATAACAAAAACTAATAAAAAAAAGGTTTTTTTTTTTTTTTTTCAAAATTTTCAGTGGTTTTTGGTTTGTTTAAGAAAAAATAAAAAACCCAGAGGTGATTAAATACTACCAAAATAAAGCTCTATCTGTCACAAAAAAATGATAAAAATGTCATATGGATACAGTGTTGCATGACCGCGCAATTATCATTCAAAGTGCAACAGCGCTGAAAGCTGGAAATTGGCCTGGGCAGGAAGGGGGTAGAAGTGCCCTGTAGGCTAGTGGTTAAAGATAGGGAGTCAATTTCAAGAGATATATGTTAGTGATAAGGGTTCATTTTCTGGTTTAGTTAAAAGTTAAGTGGTGGTAGATGTGATAAGTATTTATTACCAGTTACATTTTAAGAGTTAGGTCTCTTTCACACGAGTGTTCCATCTCTCTGGTTTTCATCCGTTTGTTGACAAATGAAAAATGGACAGCAATGCATTCCTATTGGTAAACTGATGTAAACGGATGATCTTCCATTTACATCCACTTCTGTTCAGGTCCGTTCTTTTAAACAAAACAAGTGTCTTTTTTTTTGTTCTGTTTGAAAAACAGAAGACAAGTTAATTGGATGTAAATAGACTACAGCCCATTTTTGCATTCATTTTTACATTGGTGGTTAGGAGTCGACACCTGCCAGCATCCTAACAACCAAGACTCATCCCTGCTGACAGTAGGGATGAATGTAAAAACAGATGTAAACTGATGTGAACTCAATCAGTGTTTTCTTTAAAAAAAACGTGACTGAACGGGTGACGTCTGTGTGAAATGGGCCTAAACCTTCAGGATAGGTCAAATGTATCGGATATAGCTGCTTTTACAATTCACCCCTTATTCCAGCACTGACACCTCCGTATGTTAAACAGCTCAAGAAATTCAACCCAGTGGGATTGATTTACTAAAATTGGAGCGCGCAAAATCTGGTGCAACTCTGCATAGAAACCAAACAGCTTCTTTGTCTTCAAGCTGAAGTTAGAAGCTGATTGGCTACCATGCACAGCTGCACCCGATTTTGCACTCTCCAGTTTTGGTAAATCAACCCCAGTGAGCATCTAGTATAGATTATTACTATTCAATTAAATCAGTAGGTGGTGTTGTAGGCATTTGTATTGCTACTGTAGCCAGGTGCTGGCTATATCTTTATCCCATTCAGGGACCTTTACAGATGAGACTGGTTAATCCTTTTTCCCCTAGTCCCCAGTACTGGGACTGCTACATCACCTCCTGTTAGCAGAGTGGATCCAGTTCTTCTGACAGCAGATGATGCTTGGACCTGTAGTCCTATAGCCAATATTTACTGTATTTCTGAGTGCTGATTGAATTACAACTACCAGCTGCGGAACCAGAAAGTGTCTGGGAGAGGAGGTATATTCTACAACAAGAAACTGCCTTGCTCTCGGGCTGCTGTTCTCCTCCAGAGACAAATTGCTGGCTACAACTGCGGGACTCTGCATACCAGTTCAGCACAGAGATGACACTTATTGTCATACTAGGATTGCAGCAGCTTCTCTGCATCGGGACTGTCACTATCCAGTCATCAGCCAGTCATCTCTGCTTTGCCACGCTGACAGGCTCTCAGGCGGCAATTCTGCACTTCCCTGCAAACAGTCAAGAGCCTGTGCAAGAACTTTGTTCCTAGGAGGCCGTGATATCCATGGGATTGGTGAGCAGGCAGATGACCAACCTCTTTCTGACAACACTCTAGAGCAGCGGTTCTCAACCTGGGGGTCGAACGACCATTTCCCAGGGGTCGCCTAAGACCATCGGAAAACACATATTTCCGATGGTCTTAGGAACCGAGACACCGCTGCTCTGTCTCGCGATCTGTGGGCGGGATGATATGCTGCCCCTGTAACCTGGCCACACCTCCGGGATCACTCAACAGCTCCGCCTCCTCGCCGCTGATTGGCCACCGGAACTGTAGCTCAGGAGAGGCACACAGGCGGCCAATCAACGGCGAGGAGGTGGAGCTTGGAGAGGAGGAGCCGAGCGGCAGAGCGCGCAGATCGAAGAAGATCGAGGGAGCTGCAGGACCGAGTGAAGAGGAGAGCGGCCAGAGAAGGAAGACAGCTGACAGGTAAGTGCAAATTTTGCTTCTGCAGGCTGTAGATGGGAGAGGGAGAGAGCGAGCCCAGGCTGGAGCAGGGGTCAGCAAGGTAAGTATCATTGGTGTCAGTGGGAGGAATAGTGCCCCATCATTTGTGTCACTAATACCAACGATGGGGCACTATTCCTCCCCCCACTGACACCAACGATGGGGCACTATTCCTCCCCCCACTGACACCAATGATAGGCACTATTCCTCCCCCCACTGACACCAACGATGGGGCACTATTCCTCCCACTGACACCAACGATGGGGCACTATTCCTCCCACTGACACCAACGATGGGGCACTATTCCTCCCACTGACACCAACGATGGGGCACTATTCCTCCCCCCACTGACACCAACGATGGGGCACTATTTCCTCCCCCCACTGACACCAACGATGGGGCACTATTCCTCCCCCCACTGACACCAACGATGGGGCACTATTCCTCCCCCCACTGACACCAACGATGGGGCACTATTCCTCCCCCCACTGACACCAACGATGGGGCACTATTCCTCCCCCCACTGACACCAACGATGGGGCACTATTCCTCCCCCCACTGACACCAACGATGGGGCACTATTCCTCCCCCCACTGACACCAACGATGGGGCACTATTCCTCCCCCCACTGACACCAATGATAGGCACTATTCCTCCCCCCACTGACACCAACGATGCGGCACTATTCCTCCCCCACTGACACCAACGATGGGGCACTATTCCTCCCACTGGCACCAATGATAGGCACTATTCCTCCCCCCACTGACACCAATGATAGGCACTATTCCTCCCCCCACTGACACCAACGATGGGGCACTATTCCTCCCCCCACTGACACCAACGATGGGGCACTATTCCTCCCCCCACTGACACCAACGATGGGGCACTATTCCTCCCCCCACTGACACCAACGATGGGGCACTATTCCTCCCCCCACTGACACCAACGATGGGGCACTATTCCTCCCCCCACTGACACCAACGATGGGGCACTATTCCTCCCCCCACTGACACCAACGATGGGGCACTATTCCTCCCCCCACTGACACCAACGATGGGGCACTATTCCTCCCCCCACTGACACCAATGATAGGCACTATTCCTCCCACTGACACCAATGATGGGGCACTATTCCTCCCACTGATACCAATGATGGGGCACTATTCCTCCCACTGATACCAATGATGGGGCACTATTCCTCCCACTGACACCAATGATGGGGCACTATTCCTCCCACTGCACTATTCCTACCAATGATGGGGCACTATTCCTCCCACTGACACCAATGATGGGGCACTATTCCTCCCACTGACACCAATGATGGGGCACTATTCCTCCCACTGACACCAATGATGGGGCACTATTCCTCCCACTGACACCAATGATGGGGCACTATTCCTCCCACTGATACCAATGATGGGGCACTATTCCTCCCACTGACACCAATGATGGGACACTATTCCTCCCACTGACACCAATGATGGAGCACTATTCCCCCCACTGACACCAATGATGGGGCACTATTCCTCCCACTGACACCAATGATGGGGCACTATTCCTCCCACTGACACCAACGATGGGGCACTATTCCTCCCACTGATACCAACGATGGGACACTATTCCTCCCACTGACATCAGTGATGGGGCGCTAGTCCTCCCACTGATACCAATGATGGGGCACTATTCCTCCCACTGATACCAATGATGGGGCACTATTCCTCCCACTGACACCAATGGCGGGACACTATTCCTCCCACTGATACCAATGATGGGGCACTATTCCTCCCACTGCAAAATTACAGTTCTGAAGTAGCAACGAAAATAATTTTATGGTTGGGGGTCACCACAACATGAGGAACTGTATTAAGGGGTCGCGGCGTTAGAAAGGTTGAGAACCACTGCTCTAGAGACACTGCATGCAGACACCTTTACACCTCAGTAGCAAGAGATCTTTGCTGACAGCATTTACCACAGCCTATCTTTTATCTTCATTGAATTACCAATACTCACTACTGTATATAGGCCCCAGCATTGCAAGCAGAACACAATGGCTACGATCACATCAGGAACTTTAAACATCTCAGGACTCAAACTGATATTTCTGTTTGCAGGGACCTCTTTCCATCTAAGCCATTGTTAATCAAATTAGGGTGTCTATATCCATTTATGCCAGAATGTGTGTGTGTGTATATATATATACAGGGCTTTCTTTCTGCCGGAACGCGGCGGTACTGCGTTCCGCCACCTTTTTCTTCTTGTCCCCGCTCACCGACTGCCTCTGCAGAGCTGACAAGCTATGCAGAGCAGCGAAAGTGACAGGTGCCGGACGCGGCTTGTTTATGTCATGCTTGCGCGTGCCCGGCACCTGTCACTGCCGCTGCTCACAGCCGGTGAGCGGGGACATGCACGCTTCACCCCCCCCCCCTCTACCGCCAGCGTGTAAACATCGGGGGCGCGGACGATGGGCGAGGACACTATGCACGCTTCACCGCCCCCCCCCGCCGGCGTGTAAACATCGGGGGCGGCGCGGCGACATCAACGGCAGTGACAGCGTGGACGCAGGGGCCGTACAGCTTGGAGTAGGTAAGCTGCGCTCGGCTCCCTGTCACTGACTGCAGTATCATGTATTGCTCTAAATTTTTACTCTCTCCCCAGCCTGTGCCC